CATTGAACAGAACACAGTGGAGCAATGCCGGAATTATTGATGTAAAGGGAATTTAATGCTGAGTTAGTCAAATGCATAGGTTTACTTAAAGAAAGCAGATGTTAATTACAATCTAAGCAATGCTAGGAAGTAGCACTTCATGGTAGGAAAAGTTAATAAGAAAAGAAAGTTGGGAGTTCTTAAAAAGGCACAACTGCAAATTCTAACAAGAAAGGGAGGGAGGAGAGGAAGATTGCAGAAGTCACCAACTGGCTGTACAAAAAGTCTAGTAAAAATCTGAAAAAAAAAAAAAAAGGACATGAGATGAAAAGAGGGATAGGTCACCAAGAAGAGTACATGCTGGTATTCTTCTTTTAGAGATGGTGTCAAAAAAAATTAAGGCTCAGAAAGAACTGGGGTTGGCAAAGTACGATAAAACAACAAAAGAGACTTGTATGGATGTATTCAAAATAAAGAGAAAGGAATCATCATACAAACTGCTCTGTAAAGATGAATGAACAGAACAACTCAACGCCTTCTTTGGCTCATTCTCCTCTCAGAGTCTTTCCCCATTTTTACTTAACAGCATGAACATACCCTGTCCACCTCTTTTTCGCTGCAATATCCTCATGACAGTGTTTTCTTCTCATTCCAGACCATATTTGGGGCATCTTAAAGTCATCCCTAGCTGTTCCAGATTGAAATTATTGCTTTCCCCTTAAGCAGCTAACAAGCCCCAGCAGTTTTTCTGTGGATGCAGCCTGACATACTTTATGACTGTTCAGTTGGTGCCATGGTCACATGACCCATAGGGGGTGGGATCAACATAGCACCTGTTGGCCATGTTGGTTGGTACTAACATGCCACCACCACCCCTTCCAGTCCCTGAGCACTATCTTCCAGGGACATCCTGCTTTAGGCAGCAGAAGATTCCAGATCTTTGTAACCAAGCCCATGATATCTCCAGCCCTCATAGTGAACATGCGGTTCAGTTTTGGTGTTTTGGAATGTGTCACAAAGAAAGTTGTTGTTTTCTTCTCTAAGTTTTAGTCTTCAGTGACGGCTGCTCCAAACAGGAAGAATTTACCATCAGTTTAACTCTTGTGAGCAGCATCATAGACATGGGGACATGTCCCAATCCTTGCAAACTGTCAATATGATTTCACTAGAAGCTACAGCTGCCACAATCAAATCACGTATTGTGAAAACAATTGTACCACAGAAAATCAGTAAGTATAGGTTTTCTGTCTAACAAGGGTAGTGCTGGGGAAAATTTCAACTCAGTAAGTGAGAGCTTGGGGGAAAGCACTGCCAACCCCCTGAAAGGTACTTAATGGGACAAAGGAAAAAGTAGGTGAAGCAAGTTCTTGGTGAAGAATTAAAGTAGGAGAAGAGGTTGTTTTTACATAACTCTATATTAACTTATTCCCTCAACATTGCCTATATTCCTTTTCCCCATCAATGCAGTCCATCTGGGCTACTTCACTTTGTTCAGGCTAGCTGTTTCTGAGGACAAGATGTGCACAGGTAAAAAGGGATTCAGAGAGAATATCTGCAACAGGGTTGGCAGGGTCAGGGAGAAGAATTAGGCCATCAGAAGAATAGAGTTGTGAGATGATTGGTGGCTACTTCCTGTTCTATCCTGTTTCCCTATCATTAAGTTTAGGCTGTCCTCCATACTCACTTTGTGGTATTGTAACCATTCTAGATAAGGCAGCAGTCATTCGCTGTATGGTCAGAGATTAAAAGGCTGACGTGATTTCATCAGTGAGTCCTGGATGGGTGAATGGAGGGCAGGGGGAGGCAGGCATGATCCAGCTCTGCCCAACCAGGTACCCAGTGCTGCATCCTCACAGACATGAAAGAGTGGGGAGAAGGTGCAATCTTCTATTAGAATTCTGCCTCACCAGAAAGCCAGTCTCTCTGGGAAGGGGGTATAAAGATTGAAGCAATACTTGGATCTTGCTGGTGTTCTGCCTTCTCTGCTGCTCAACATCCTCCTTGCCTGAGTGGGCAGAGACAATCTCCAAGATGGACTTCAGGATCCATGCCTTCATTGTCTCTCAGCTTTGGCTCAGGACTTCATGGCCACGATGAGTATCATGGGTTGCCTAAGAATATCATAGATACAGCAAATGTTACAGAATGCAGTCTTGATCTGGTTTAGGCGGTTAAGACATTTCAAGAGCAAGACATAATAGAACAACACGTTTCAAGAACAAAAGGGTAGAACAAATTTAAGTGCAGCTAGTAGCATGGGAAAAGTTCCAGTAGGTATCAAACCTTCCCAGCCCAAAGTAAATTGCTGACCATATTGAATTATGCTCTATATTAACCTACCCATCTGCTAACATCTGTATGAATGCCTCTTCTCTGGATGTTCTTACATCAGAGATTAAGCTAAAATTACCAGATTTGGACCAAAAAAAATAAAATAAAAACAACCTCTAGATGGCAATAAAGAATTTTAATTTTTCCCCTCTTCTCGAGGTCATTCAGATTTTTGCCACCCAAATCTTGTACTTCTAATAGCTCAGGTGGTGATCAACATGTGAATTCTGGAACATTCTACTGCACTGAGTTTTTGCTTTTCCCCTAGGCTGATGAGTTCAAGTCTCTGACAAAGCATTTCTTATTCATTTAGTCCCAGACCTCATACTTACATTCTGGAGTTGCAGTTCCCACTCTTTTTCTCAGTGTGACTACTCAAGTGTCATTGAAAGCTTTTGAGAACTACCATATAAGCCAAGGAATGATAACCCTGAATCTGCAGGTACAGATGTGACCCCCACCCACCCAAGGATATCCCCGGGTCCCTAAAATTAAATGAAAATTTCATTTTTTAAAAAAAGCTATGGCTAAAACCTTGCAGAATCACCAAATCCCTTGCCTGAAAATTTGCAAAATGTTGAATGATAACTTCCAAACACACAAGATTTTGACACTACTTTTAACAATGTTATTTCTATTTTGATGCCTGCCATACGAGCTACCTACAATCCCCTCACAAAGCATTGGTAGCTTCTGGACCACCAGCTGGAAGTCAGGCTTTTTGTGAAAGTCTATATTCTCATTTTACTTTATTTTGCTTAGCTAGATTCTTTATTTTGACTTTAACTTTTGCAAGTTGCTTTGAAAAGGGCTGTTTTAAAGAACAGTTAGAAATCATTTAACATTTTGTGAGCCTATAATAATTGTGAAAAATGTTACATGACAAATTGGAAGCAAGTTTTTAGGCTATTATATAAAAACACATTTACCAGGTTATGAAACAGTTTTCAGGTCATTTATGCAACTTGCGCTCAAGGACTTTGGAGACAGAATATTGGTAACACAGCCATGCCCTTCCTTTGACTCAAGAGAGCTCTGATGCTGTCTTCTTCATTTGCTACTGCAAATTAGCATTTCAACAAGGCATTAATGCAAATCAAGTTGGCTCATGAATAAGCCTCAGTTAGACCAATTACAGTTAGAAGTTATTTTTGTTTGTGGAACTATGTATTATTTCAGCAAAAAGGCATTCCCTGAATTTTTATCATAAGCATGAAACTTTAAGTAGAATTACAATCCAGGCATAGAGAAGAAATAAGAGGTGCAGGCATAAACAGGTCCTGGTGGCTGTATTGTAATTATTAAAGTAATTATTATGAACAATAAGCAAATATTAAAGTATTTATTGGCAGACAGCTTAAGTATCAGTTGTAACAATACTGTTTGGCACATATTTTATAAAAGACCAAATCACAGACCCTGGGAACATTACTTGGAAGAAGCTCAAAGGAAAAAAATTAGTCTGAAGGATCTACATATCTGATAGGAAACATTCAATTAAGCTGTCAACATTGTCCCACCTGTAAATTTGTAATCTATGGCTTGCCAGTTGGGAGAACTCAAAAGCCACTTCTCAGATCTCTATTCTTTAAAGCAAAGAATCCTTTAGAGCAAAATCCTTTATAGGATTTCTTTGTTAATTGTAATTATGTTCTGGAAAAAAAGATACGTATCCTGCCTAAAATGATTCCAAAATGCAGGCCCAGGTCATATCCCCAAGTGGGACTCTCCACAAGACAGAGATATTCCAGCAACAACTTTTTTCACTGTGTCTCCATGATGTTGCCTTCATCTCATCCTCAGCCCATGGATGAGACAGCCTTAAGTCATCCTCAGCTGTACCTGTGTTAAAATAGAATTTTTTCCACTTCTTCTGACTTCATCCAAGAACAGCCTTAAGGTGGGTAAGAAATATTACTTTGGAAGGAAGTCAGGTGACTGACAGCAACTGGGAACAGAGGTAATAGGAGCAGGATTGGGATAAGACAGCAAAATCCAAACCACCATAATTTTCTGCTGATTCAAGGATGGATGGATAACGCTGTAACCTAGTAGTAGGGAAAGGCTGTCCAAGTACATAGGAGCTGGAAATGTAGAGGAGTGATCACATGCTTATTCCATTCTTCTCACTGCCTATTAAAAAAATTTAGCCTTATATTCCAATTTCTAAATACCTCATCAATTCATCAACCAAATGACAGGCCTTTATAAGGATTACCAATTAAGCTACTCTGGAATGTTGCTGGGTTTGTTTGTTTTGCATTGATTAGAATATCCAGGAGAGGCATGTATTCCAAAGTAGCTTAATTGGTAATTCCACTTCCAATAGTCACAGAATCCCTACAGAAAATGCCCAAAATCTAACAACACACACTGCCAAAGAGAAGAGTGGTAAGACAAGGCAAGTATCCAGTATCCAGTTCGTTTTATTTTGGGTTTTTGCTCTAAGTGAGAATTTAGTAACAGCAAAGTGAGCATTTAGTAACAGCAAAGTATGAAAGGGATTCATCACCTATCCCATTTTTTGGTCTCCTTTAGGAGGGCCCCTTTAGTACCAGAAAGTCCAGAGTCTGCAATTGCTTAACTGCACTAATGTGAACAAAGTTCTTGTGTAACAAATAGGAACCTTCAGGTTGGCATACTTTTCTAAACACCTTTTTCAGGATATTTCAGAATTGGTCTCCTGTGTAATGGAACATAACCACATCACTGTGGAAGATACCTCTACCAGTGGGCTTTCTGTCTCTCCTTGTCAGCCAGATAGCTCTGAAATTCCTGTGTCCGATGATGACAAAACTGGTGCCGCATTACTTTTCTCTGGAGTCTTTTTGGGGGTTGTAGGAATCACCTTTACTGTGATGGGATGGGTGAAATATGAAGGTGTCGTCCACTTTGTATGGACTCGATTGCTTGGACCCACTCTGCTTTCAGTGGGTGTGGCATTTTTGCTGATTGCTGTGTGCAAATTTAAAATACTCACCTGCAACTCCTGCAACCAGAGTGAAGAAAGGGCACCTGATGCAGAAAGGACACATAACGGGCTTTATGCTGGAATTAGCCAGCCCATCGCTTTTCAAGGAGCTGCAGTGGTGCCTCACCTGCCTTCTTCTCCAACCCAGGAAGGAGTTGAAGCCAATTTGCACCAAGCGTTGAACCGTTCGGAATTTCCCCTTGGCTCCACATCAATAATTCCTGTTCTTATTCCTCCTCATTCTGATAATGTCAGCCCCATGGATAGCTCAGCTTTTTCTGTAGAGAACTACTCTGCTTATCTTACAGTGGACACCACAAGCGAAAGGTAAGTTATTTGTGAATGTTACACTTTGGGGCAAAAATTCCTACAAGATCCAGGTAGAGATGTAAAGGAAGTAGAGTCGTTATCACTCCTTGGGTAAAATTTCAGTTACTGCTTTAAGTGAAAGCATTGCCTGAAGCTTCAGCCAGTACAGTTTCACAGCTATTGCGGTTCCAGTTAAGTAATGGACTGGCATGCATTATGCATCTTTCATTTTCTATGTGTTGGTGTTTTTCTCAAGAACATTCCTCTCTTATCTTGAAAGAACTTTCTTTTAGCCTAATGTTTATAATTTTATCAGAATAACAGGAGTGGATTACTGGGTGTATAATCTATTACCCCAACCTGAGCTTCATGGGTTTCAGACCCAGAGTTTACTTCTGGAGGTCTGACACTTCTAAAGTAAAAGTAAAGAGCAGGTGGCTTCCCCACACATTCAGAATGCATTTACCTCCATGCCAAACAATCCTATCCCTCCAATTTTCTTACACATGGCATATTGGGAGTTTTCATTTTAAGGTGCGACAGTGTATTTCAGCATGATCTGAATCCTACTTAAATGGCATTTGGTTGTGTATTGGATTTGCTGCAATAATTAAGGCACCTGTTTTTAAATAGACACATTTTCAAACAAAACAATCAGGAGAACAATACTGTGACACACTCATCGCTGTTGACCTTTCTGCATCATCAAGCTTTTGTACAGTAAGTGCACATTTATCTCTCACTTGCATTTTGCAGGGAGAAATGCAGGCACACATTGGACATGCATATAAACCCCACAATAAATACAAATGCCCCAAACCCCCTGCCTGTCCCCACCATTCCATATGGCAAAATACATTTGTAATATGTTTTAAAATATCTGTCTTTATTAGTATCTCCTTTGTTTATTTTGCTGGTTGTTGTGCCTTATAAATTCCTCTCTCCCTGCTCATCCACCCACCACATCTCTAGGTCAACTAACAGTCTTGAAGAACCTGAAGAGATACTGGATGAAGATCTTTGCAGTGACTCTTTACCTCCTCCTTATGAGAAGCTATTCCCACCTTTGCCATAAACAGACCTGCCTAATATCTCCATAAGGATTGAGTCTGCTTCAATAAGACCATCAACATATATAAGCTTCATAAGCTTATAAGATACATGAATTTTACTGACAATTTTTTTGTGTGTGTTGAAAACTGTTGTTCATTCATCAACTAAATACAAGTGGACATGTTCTTTCTAAGTGTGCAACATTTTGCATTTAATTCCATCTCTAAAATCACCCAGCCTTTCCAGTTCACCTATTCCCCCTGCTCCCTGGGCTCTTGAATAATATGCAAACAAATATTCCATTTTTATTTAACTCTGGACTATGTGTGAAATCTAAATCTTTTTTTGAGCAGGGGTAGTTTGAGGAGCGACCAACGCTTTTCACTCCAAGAAGATATTAAGAAGCAGGAATGAATGCATGGGAATATTGTATCGTATTTTAGGCTTCATCAAGTCAGCAAATGGAGAAGCAAAGACAGATAGTACTCACACATTAAATTACTATTGTAGTAATTCTTGAGCCAGATGGAAGGATGGAACAAGAGACAACCCATAAGTTAAAAACATTTTTTTTTTAATTGTACTTTAAAAAAGTTCAGCAATCAATACCAGGCTGTGATTAGAAAAGCATGTCTAGAGGTCCAAAAGATCCAGCAGAAAGAAGTTGAAGATTAGGAGCTCAGCAAGCAGGACAAGATGACTAATGAAAAAGTTTATCCAGCAGCTGCTCTGCTCCTCAACAAAGGCAACGTTTTCATGCCTCTGCCTTCAAAACTTACCTTAGCCACTGCTGCTGGGTCTCAAGGGCTGGCAAATTAGAGGGACTATTCAGAAATGGGGGCTTATCCCCAAGTAATGATTCTTTCACTCCCTGGCTTTGAATCTTCAGCACACTTTGGACATGGGAGCTCTGTAGGAACCTGTTCAGGGGGTCAGAGATTATTGTCAGACTCCAGGCATTGCAAAGTGGGGGCTCTAGCTCAGCTTCTCTTGCAGGTTTAGGGATTCTTGGCATTTTGCCTTATCCCCGGATGGGAATTCTTCTAAGGAGTATGGGCACGCTAGGACATTTTAGGCAAGTTTCAGTCCCATTTTAAAAGTTAAATATTTCTCCTTTTTTTTTAAGAGAAAAAAAGAGATCCACTTTAGGGCTTTTTCTATTCCCTTGCAATTTTCCATAAAGGTATTACTGGTAGAGATGCAAATTATGTGGACTGGTGGCAAAGTACCACTAATTTTAATATACATTTTACTTTGTCACTTTATTAGTCTGACAGTGCTATTGTCTGATTCAGCCAAACCTGGCATGTTTAGGAAGTGAGTATGATTCTGGCTGCAGACCTGATGGAACATTTGTTTTTAAAATGGCATTTTAAATTACAAGGAAAGGAGGTTCACATGGTCCATTTCGGCTTATCTGGAGATGAGTGATGGTGCAGAGGCTGAACCTCCTCCATATCCTGAATCCAGGTACAGCTATACAATTTTATGAGATACAGTTAGCATGTATCACTTCAATTTTGACCAAATGCTAAATATTTAATCTTTAACTTAGAGGGAATTCTTAAATGTCACAAGGTGATGAAGTTTGAAAAAGGAGAACAGGAAATTTCAGGATTTGAGTTTACTGAATTGAGGCTGTTTGTATTTAAAGACACTACACGACAGGAAGTTGTCTGGTGTGATTCATTACTGCATTCCTAATGGCCTTAAGAATGGATGGAAACGGAAGCTAACTGGTGAAAAAGTCCTGAACTACAACCCTAGTAACTGGTCAGGGTTTGGCAGGTCCAGGGATTATAGCAATGATGTAACAAACTTTGAAAAGTAGCATGACTATTACTATTCATGAGTGCACTTTTCATTCTTTTCTCCCACAGTTTTTCTAATCAAAAGTCATTGTGAGATTTTGCCCTGCTTTTCAATCTGAAAAGCATTCAGAGATCAGTAAAAGAAAAATATATCTAGGTCTGAGCATTTCACCTTCTCATCTCTGGAGTTTTGCCTCAGATCGGAAGGTGGCATTTACAGAGATACTTGAGGAACAGTCACCCATAACCTGTAGCACTCCAGATGTTGCTGAATTACATCTGCCATTGACCATGCTGCTGCTAGTTGCCGTTCAGCAACATCTGGGGACCACACATTAGGTCCTGATGGAGCCCCAGTCTCTTTCATTGCTCCCTATGATTTGCTTGTTTCATCTTTAAAGCCATTGCCAGCGGCCACATGTTACCTGGGCGTTCTGATCTTCTGCCTCCTGCTTATCTCTACAGTGAAGTGGTACATAGATTAACACAAGCCAACTGACATGTAGTCCACATTTAAAACAAAACCAACTTGCTCAGTTGTTTTTTTTAACAGTAGCTTATGTATTTTTTGTGTAGAAAACACTCAGCAATCTGATTGGAAACTTCTTCCTGGGCTTCCATTCTCTTTTCATTGGCATTTCACATTCTGGAATATTCCAATATTCAAAATTCTGCCACCAAGAATTTTCCAGATGTAAGCATTTAAAAAGCAGCTGAAGCCACATTTGCAAACCATAATGACACCATAATTCTGGCAAAGCTCTTCTTAGTTAATTTCATCTTCCTACATTAGAACCCAATAATCTGCAAACCACCACTGATGTATTACTGATTTACAGTTGCTATAATTTATGTCATTAAAGATCCCCAATCCTCTTTTTCCTCTTCTATTCTACCCAGCACCCCCAGTCATTCCATCCTTAATATTTGGCAGACCCCTGCCTATGAAAAGGAGCCTGTTTCACATTAGTTAGTAGTACGTTGAATCATTCCTGCAAAATGATTTATTATGGATTACAAATTCTTATATGGCACTTTAAGTTAATGATTAGACAAGTAATACATCATTGACATGATTGGTTGCATATGGCTCTGATTTTAACTTTCTGTATAGTCAGGAGATTACCACAACATCTTCTTGTTACTGCAATTCAGAGTGTTTTGCTGTCTATAGTCATCCTGGTCCCACAGAAGGAAACTGCCCCCCCCGACACACACACACACACACTTCACATCCACTGACTACTGTCATGGGTTGTTTCACTAGAAGAGGATGCCAAAACAATGCCAATAATAAGTGTGAATCCAACATTCCTACAAGGATACCATCATGTAAAGCCAGAGAAATTAGAGGAACCTTTGCCAACTTAGTGTTCTTCAGATGGGTTGGAGCTGTTAACACCCCAAATTCCTAAAGACCCTGCTGGCTGAGAGTCTTGAAATTTCAGAATTTTGCAATCCCACTACAACTGAAGGGCACTAGATTGGGAAAAACTAGCTTAGAGCCTAGGCAAAAAGGAGCCAACTGATTTTATAATATTTTTTTAGCAGCAACTTGCCAAAATATGTGGTAAGTTGAAAGCACCATGTTAATCGTCTACAGTTTTTACTACTTAATAGAAACCTTGGAAAGTACATCAGTGCAAAAATTGCTCCATTCTGTAGGACTAGATCCCTTTCAGTGTAGACAAACAGCATTTGGCTGTGTTGATAGGAATAAATATTATTCAATTTTCTCTTTTCTCCTGCACTGTTAATGACTGGGCACCATGAAGTCATGTGAGATCATCTCAAAAGTCTAAATGTCAGAGTGTATCTTACATGTTGGTCTAATTCTCAATGAAGCAATCTGCACCTGGACTATAGCGCATCAAATATCACATGTTAATCCATGCATTGTTGCTAAGATGCCTTAAAGCCATGTCATAATGTTTCTGAATGTTGTTTGCCAAAAATATAAGCCATACATTAACTAACTCAAAACAATGTCCAGAGAATAAATTGAGAACATAGTCACTTGAATCTACTCCATGAATAATTTATGACATATTGATGTGAAGTGGAGACAGGCCAGTTTGGTCTGTCCAGATGTTTTGGACCACTATTTCTAGAATCATAAGACAATGGTCAGGGATCATAGGAATTCCCTGAAATATCCTGAAGGCACCAGGTTGCCTATCCCTGATGGAGAATACGGATTCAGCACATGGAAGATGAATAGTCCAAAAGCACTAATATTCCTGTAAGTATTACATGTCCAGGCTAAGATACATCTTATTGTGTAAAGCAAAGTACAAACTGATTCCCCTCAATCCTGTGTACAGATCCTGGCAACATGTCCTTTAACACTCAGGGCAGCACTGTCCACTATAGCTGAGGGCAGCAGGCTACCTTAAGGAACGCTGGACTGGCCTTGCAATGGCACAGATCTATTCTCCAGTGCTTCTATGCCCCTTTTCTCTTTCTTTCTCTTTTTCTCTGCCTCTTTTCTCCACATGCATTTCTGCTGGACTCTCCTAATGGTAAGACTGGCCCTGATTTCGCCTGAAAAACACACACCATTTTCCAACAGATTAGGATTATGAGCATCGCTGTTTGTGATGTTTAGGCAATTTTGTTACATGTGAGTGGTATGAATATTCTTTGTATGCATTTACATCAAGGATGGGTCCCCACATGAGGCTCTTCCCCCTTACTAGTAAGCAGCCAAGTACAATGTTTCCCCCTATCATTGCTTTTCTATTAAAAAATGTAGTTGGCTGAAGTTGGCCCTTGCAATTTGGTGCCTGAAGGCATTTCCTGTTAGGAGTCGTTCTGAACATGGACTCTCTGGTGCTTCACCCAGTCTTTGGTGAGACTGGGCTGTTGCACAATCCTTATTTACATTCTAATCTTTTAATAGCAGGTAATGCACGTTATGTACATGGTCCCACATAATATAGTGACCCAGCTAGGAAGATCTGCAAGTATCAAACCAACAGGCAAGGGAAGCTGCCCCATACCAGACCTTAACAGTGTCCATTCTTATTGCCACTGGTTCTTGAGGGCTTCAAGCAAAGGACTGCTTCTCATCATGACATGCAGCCTTTCCACAAGAGGTCCCCAGGGCTGAATCTGGGTCCTTCTGCATGCCTGCTGCTAAGCAATATCCCACGATCCAATTCTGTACGGCATCTAATGCACAAAAAGGACAAAATAACACAGGCACATG